TCCTTTGCCCTTCTTTCCTTTATTTCCTATTCCTGTCTTGCCATTGACTATCCTGCCATTGTCCATCAGCCTTCCGAGCATCTGTCTGAGTTTATTGAAAATGTGCTTTCTTCCGGATCCTTTGCCTTTGCCGTTGAGGCGGCCTTCGAATCCACGCTTCATCTTGCGGCCTTGGAATCGCGCGAAGCCGTGTGTAATTCTCGTCGTAAAGACCCAAATGGCGTCCTCGTCCGCTTCGACGAAGCCTTCCGTGCCATCCTCTTCGTCCTCGACTCAATAACCCCTCGCTGTCGTCCAAGTAGCCTTCCTCTATCACCAAAATGTCTTTCTGCCACCATGACCTGAGGGAGCGAGGAGAGGAGTGTCGACGGAAGTTTTGGTTGCGCAGAAGATTTCCAAGTAGACCTCGCAGAGCTCATTGAGGCGGCAGTCTGCCAGCACTTGGTTCCGATGTGCCATCAATGATGTCAACACATGCTTCTGATCCTGTGTGAGATCGGACAGGGGCACAAAGATAAGGGGCCACAGTGTTGGCCGTTTTCGGGATGGTCCTGGCGTGCTAGTCCCTGAGCCGTTCCTTGGCTCTCTACATCGTGATCGTCGCCTGCTCCTCTGTTTGGAGCGAGGTGATGTAAGCTCTGACCTCGGCATTGGCGGGATCCGTGATCAGAAGGTAGGTGTCGTTCGACGACCCCTGCATCCTGTTGACAGAGAGCTGAAATCTGGTAATCCAGCGAAGCATGTCTCCGCTCCTGCGATGCAAGTTCATGAACTGCTGAAGCAGTATAAAGGAACACATTGGCGGCCCGCGCTTGACGAACAGGCCTGAGAAAACTCTTGAAGTACTTAATTAACTCCAGTGTTCGGGCCCTTCAGGCGAGCTCTGTCCAGAAAGTGCGTGCGCTGCTTCACCTTCCAGTTGGTTTCGCAAAGCCGGCCCACGCTTGTCGTTGTCGAGCTCATCGTCGGCTGGGGCCTTGCGGCCTTCCTTAGGCCACTGGCGGCTAGTTTTTCGTGCGACTTTTCAGTCGACTTCGTCCTCGTGGATAAGTGCCGTGGCTACGACCTCACCCACACCAAGGTGAGGCAGCGATATCTCGACCTTGTCGAACAAGGCTACTTCGATGTGGTCTTCATGAAGCCTCCCTGTGCTAATCTAGGGCGACGCGGCGTAAATTTTCGGGTCTGCGACCGGTCCGCAGCTTTGCTAGGCCTGCTAAGTTCTCACGGCTAAGGAAAGAGACCGAGCGATTGCTGGCAACATTTTTGCTGATTTTTGTTGGGATTTGGTTAGCAGCCAGAAGATCTCGGGCGATGCCGGCACGGCCGGCATGTGGCAATGGCCACAACCTGAAGAGGTCCTGCGGCTAGGCCTCGCTACAGCTGCCTTCCTCGTGGCGGCGAGCTGCAGGACACATTTGCAGCTCCCGGACTTGGCCTCCTGCTTTGACGACGCTGGATGCTATGTGGGGCCCCTGCCTGCCCGCACGCCCCCGGCTAGGACTACCTCGACGATGGTCTCCCAAATTCTGTTGCACGAGAGGATCAGCCGCGGGCTATGCTCGCCGGGCCCGTGGCCAAGGGACCGCCGGGCTATGCCGATGATCCTTCCTATGGCAGTGGCGACGCAAAAAATCCGGGAGACAGTCCTTGCCAGGCCAGGTTCCGAAGCCGAGCTGGAGAAGGAGGCCCTTTCGGATGGCGGAGCTGGGCGAGAAGGGCTGTGAACGACTCCTCAGTGAAAAAGCATCGTGACTTCGTGCGGGATAAGTTCGAGGAGGACGTCAGGGAGGGGCTCATGGATAGGATGACCCTTGGGGAGTTCAAGGCGAGGTTCGGCGAGGACCGTGCCATCGCGGCCTTGGCAGTGATCGTCGAAGACGAAGAGAAGGATTAGAAGAGGATAATCCCCGATGCCACCCACGGCGTCAAGGTCAACAATCGGATAAAATGTCCATAAAATGTCCGGATAAACTCAGAGCGCCGGGGGCGAGGGAGAAGAAGCAGTTGCTGCGGGAGCTAGAGGCCCGGAGCGAGGTAGCATACTCTCGAAGGCCCACCGTCGCTACAAACACCAGGCGAGTTGCTGACGACCTCGAGTCGCTCGGGGTAGGGGCCAAAGGGAGACAGGGGATACGTTTGAGCTATCTCTTCCTCTCAGTGGGCGAAGACGACTGCAAGTCCTCATGACGTGGCTAGCAGGCAAGCTCTCCTCTGGCGATCGTCTCCAACGACCCGTCCGGCTACTCCGTGGACCACCACTGAGCTTTTACACGGATGCTAAGGCCGGTCATGGGCACCCTGGGCATTCTCCAAAGGAGACCCGAAGAAGGTTATTGCCGCGCTAGAGTTGCAACCGACCCTCGTCGGGATACGTTTCTGGGTCCCGGGGCGAGGATAGGTAAACCTCGTGAGTTGCCATTAGGGGATACACGGATAACAAATCCAATGAGTCCCTCTTGAAGAAGGCTATGACGACAAAGTATCCTTCCATGCTAATTTTAATGGAAACGGCCGGAAAGGAACTCCGTTGGAGGATGCTGGACCGGCTACTCGCGCACTCCGATAGCTTTTACCGTGAGCTAGGAGTGCGAAAGCGAGAGACACCGGCGAAGGTGTCACGTTTTGGCATTTTTGGCCGTAAGGTCCGTAGGCTAGATCCCTGGTAGCCTGAGTGGCTTTGCTTGGGGAGGGCTAGCCAGAGGCTAACGACAATCTCCAGGCTAGCTGGGATTTATGCCACATCCATGAAAAAGGACAGTCGTTGTGTGTACTGTGTTGTTAGCTCGCTGTCGTTACTCGGCTAGTACAACGACTCTAGCTAGTACCAACCCGGTGGTCTGTCCGGGACGGTGGTGGGCTAGATGGGCTAGTGCACGTACCTCGTGACGAGGTACGAGTTACGACTATGTGTGCTGGCCCGATAATCTTCCCACCGAAACCATCGCAGGTGTTTCGGATAGAAACGAAGGTTCTATTGCTATCTATTGTTCTTGCCGGCTATGTATCAGACTGCAAGACGGAGATAGCTTGACTTGGAATGGCGAGGAACCTTGTACATTTCCGTGCGACGACTCTAGCTAGTACCAACCCGGTGGTCTGTCGGGGACGGTGGTGGGCTAGAGCTAGTGCACCAACTTGTCCGACAATGGCGCCCCACCAGGATTGACGGCTGTCGCAACCCCTTGAACTGCTTTCTTCGCGGGGAGTTGAGGCTTGGTGCGGGGGTGACTGCCGCTGCGGGCAGACTCCATTGGATCTTCCAAGCCAGGAGGACCATTCTCCAAGGGAGCACCAGTGGTTGGACGGGTAAGGGTTGTGCCTTCGAGCAGCTCCATAGCCAATCTCCGCGTCCACAAACGCAGGCCGAGGACCAGTCGACGGATGCAGAGTCATAGGCGCAACTCTGACTTGCTTGGAGGAGTTGCGACCGGCACCATAAGAACATCGGCCGGCCGTGGCGTCGGCAGAGGATGCCCCACGGCCCCATGGACACTCCTCACATGCCTCCGTCAAGATGCGCTGTCCCTCGCCGCACAAGCTCCTCCCAAAAGCGATCCTCTGTCGCCGACTCCTTGCTCGTCTGGCCATACAACACAAGCATGTGTGCGTTCTGAGCCGCAGCCTGCCCCACCTCCATCGCAGCCTGCAGATCTCGTCTTGGATGAGCTTGATGTCGCCCTCGTACTGCTTGTGATTCTTGGCAAAAGCCTGCTTCATAATCGTGTCGTACTTTTCGAATTGAGAACGTCGGTGGACTACCTCCGCCTTGAGCTTCCGGATCTTGACGTCCGCCTTGCGCGCTTGCGTCAACGCCTTCTGGACTCCACGAAACGCTGCCGGAAGCTCGGAGGACCTCCGGGGTCTGCTGATACTGCTGGCCCCAATTCAATTCTGACCAACATTGACTTGGTCGTATCTGAGCTGTGCAAGGACGAGCCATAGCCGCCAGCCTGTTGCGGCTGCGACCATTCCTCTTCCTCCTGCCATGTCTTTCGGCTTCTACCCATGCGGCGATCTACTCCTTATATCTAGGTGCGGTGCGATGCGCCGACAAAAATGCCAGCTTCGAAATTGGAGGGCACGCACCGTGTGCTCATGTATCAGGCTCCTGGCTTTGCTGCGCTTCGCCCGCAAAATCACTGGGGCCCAGGGCTATGCCGCTGATGGCTGGCTCGATCCCAGACCCTTTCTTATACTTTTAACTTCTAATGCTTATAATTGCAATTGTACTTAAACCTATACCTGTACCTGTACTTGTGCCTGTACTCGTGTTTGTGCTGGGATTTTGTACATGTATTTGTACTGGTACTTACACCTATACCTATAGTTGTACCTATACCTGTACGTATACGTATAAGTATCACAAACCCAGTCATGGGCTTCTAGATGCCGCCGCGTGCAGGTGGAATTGGTCTCGTGCATGTCTCAGAAGAAATCAGGTGAAGTCTCTTCAAAGTAAAGGCAGTTCTTGAGCTCCGCTCCTCCGTTTCGCTTGGAGGCCATGGCCATCTTTGCGTGTTTCACCCTCCTCTGAAGAAGAGCTCCGAAAGCTAGGTCTCCAAAGGAGAAGATTGGCTGCTAAGGAAAGGGAAAACCAGTGCTAAAAGGAGTCGTGCATTCCTGGCAGCTTCCAGAGGCAATGCTGCAAACACTCCGGCTGGTACATCAAGCCCATCAAGCTTCAGCAGGTGTCGTGTAGACTTGTGGAATTCTGTAACACGCGAGTACTCAAGACAACCTCCCGGTAGGGAAGTAGAACTTTATCCACACCGAGCAACTAGGAATGGCAGCTGACAAGTGCTTTGTGCATTGTGTCGGGACAGGTTTCAACGCGATTAGATAAACAGACTGACAAAGAGATAGATTCCTGTTCTGTCCCAACAAGAAAAAAAACACAACCCACCAGCATCACCAGCAGCCCTACCTCCGCTACCGTTGAAAGGGCAGAGCCCTGAATGCCAACTCTGATTTTCTGTGCTTGTTAGTTGGCTGGCGGAATGGCGGGCTACGAAGGTGCCTCTTCCTTGACCTCCCCCGTGTCCTCTGTGGTCTTCGAGGTCCGCTGCTCGCAGACACGGCCGGGAGAGGCGGTCTTCGTGGTGGGAGGCCACGAAGCGCTGGGCGCCTGGAAGACGACCATGGCCCTTCCTTTGCAAACCTCGGCGGAGCTCTTCCCAAAGTGGCAGACCGTGAAGCCTGTCCCGCTTCCTGTGGGCTACAATGTGGAATACAAGTTCGTGGTGCAGAAGGAAAACCGAGAGGGCCAGGTCCAGTGGCAAAACTTCCAGGGCAACTACCGCGTTTGTCCCGTTGCTGACGAAGTGCTCCTGGCCACCTCGGACTGGGAAAAAGCATCGGCGGAAGTGTCTAGCCTAGGGCCGGCATCCTCCACGACTTTAAAGGAGCCCGAGAAGACGGAGGAAAAAGATCGAGCCGTACAAAAACAGGAGAAGGAAGAGATTCTTTTGAAAATGGCAGAGAGTGGAGTCGACAAAGCCGCGGCGGAAGTTACTTCGACCTGCCCTTTGGCCGTCACTTTAGACAATCGCGAGATGCGCAGGAGGAACTTCTCACAGAGCTTGATGGCTTTGGACGCCTCCGAGCCCCAGGCCGCCTCGGCCACCCCGCCGGGAGTCCAAAGTGAAGCGAAAGAGGCGAAAGAGAAAGACACAGTGAAAGACACGGTGAAAGACACAGTGCACACAGAGAACAGCGACGGAAGCGAGGTCAAAGAAGCGGAGACCTCTCAGACGGAACAGGCGACTTCGCTTGAGGCTCCACAGGCAACGCAGGAGCCCCAAGAGGTGCCTCAGCATCAGCAGACGCCGCAAGAGACGGCTCAGGAGACGGCTCAACAGAGTGAAGAGCCTGCCAAAGAGCCTCCGGAGCCCGATGTGGTGATTACACAGACGCCCTTGGAGGACATGGAGACAGAGGAGCCACTCCGCGTGCCAGAAGAGCCGGAAACGCGCGGAGTGTCGCTGAAGCACATCACGCCTCTTGTCAAGTTGGAGTCGGAATCGTCGCAGAGTTTTGTGCAAGCATGTTTTCTTAAAGCTGTGCCATAGCAGTACAACGAGACATGCTTGTGAGGAGTTTCTCCGCTTTGGCAACCGTGGCTGATCCAGAAACCAAAGCCGAGCATCGAAAGGGGAAGAAGACCGCGCAGTCACACTACGACCCGTACAATCTCAACGTTCCTGTCGTTGTTGTGACCAGTGAGGTGGCACCATACTCTAAGATGCTCGGCTCGCTCCAGAGCAAGAGTGTCTCAGACAGATCCGTCGGATCCGTGAGTCTTGCCAGCCCAGGACGGGAGGTCTTGGCATGGTGGCAGCTTCCTATGCCTTCGAATTTGCAAGGCTGCTTCGAAAGAGAGAGGGGCAGGAGAGCTTGTTCGTTAACTTGCCACATGTTTGTGGTTTCTTGATTATGCGAGATGTTCAGGGCTTTTCGTGCTCCGTTTGTGGATTCAGTCCCGAGCATTGGCCGTGTGTAATCTTGCTAGTCTTCTGCAGTGTGAAGTGCGTGCTGTCGGTTTCAGCCCTGTACAAAGCCATGCTTGTATGAGCGCAGCTTTTCATGAGGAACGGTCATCGGACCATGGTGGTTTCCCCGAAGTACAAGCACTTTGATGGGATCTCCTACGTCGGCGAGACCCGCGTCCGGGTCAATGACACCGAGGAGAGGTTGCATGGAAGCTGGAAGAGAATGTTCGAATGTTGCACATTTTTGCATTCGCAAGCAGTACTTAAGTAGCTTGCGTCCTTCATTGTCCCATTCCTCGGGGGCCCGAGTGGTCATCAGGTTCTTCGAATATCGATGGGGTGCTCTGAGCAGGCTAAATCGATGGCACATGAGGTGAACTACACTTGTGGGCAGGCAGAGAGTTCTTGTTACTGCCTCTGCGATGTGATCCGGCCAGTACTGTGTCGGGAGAGTTTGAGCTACTCTCGAAGTTGGGATAGATCTTGCTCGTCAAAGGCTTTATCCAGAACAGATCCCACCACCCACGCTCTTCGATTCGTTGCTTCTCGCGTATATTGGTGTTGGCTTGTTTAGCTTGCTTAGTTCCAGCCCGACAATATAAGCTACAAATATCAGCGTCATGGGTGTTCGCTCGTCGCAGTGGCTTCGTAGTGATATGCTGGACGTTGACTTTTTCTTTGCATGAGCTTCTTCTCGATGAAGGAGAATGTCAAGTACTGGCACATGCGCAAGGATTACGAGGAGGACTGCATCTGCAGCAAGCCGCATCATTCAACACCGCCCGGGGAATCTTCTATGATGCTGGCAGGGCAAGGGGACCGACTTCTTGTTCATTGAGGGGTCCGGCATTCAAAGAGAGGGCGGGCTCTACAACGACAACGACGGTCGCGAGTATCCAGAATCACGTCCGATTCTGTTATACATTTTCGCTCGCGGCAACTATCATTCATGTTGCTTCATGTCTGACAGCAGCTTAGGACAACCTTCATCGGTTCACTTTGCTCTGTCTCGCGGCCATGGAGGCCAGCTGCCTCTGCTGAAAGAAGCTGTAGACTCTAGATGTCTGTCTTCTGCTATTGCAGGCGCCACTGATTCTGGACATCAACAGGCAGGGCAAATATGGTGACAAGGCCAGGGGCCTGAAACTGGACAGGGCGAGACCGGGCTTCGCCTGGGCTTCGCTAAACCGCTTTTTGCATAAACAGGTTTTATATGCTCTTACAAGTAACAACAAGTAGCAGGTGATCTTCCTCGCCAACGACTGGCAGGCAGGCCTCGTGCAAGCCTTGGCAAGCACTGCATTGTGCTGCTATTCTGGACTATCTCGACCATCTCAGGTCCCTCTCTACCTGTGCTACAAGTATAGACGACACAACTGCTACTCCCAGGCCAGTGCATTTTGGGACGGGTTCTTGGAAAAACGGGCTGCCAACACAGGCGAGATGCATCTATGTCATCCACAACATGGGCTACCAGGGCCAGTGCGCCGATAAATCTTGCGTAGCACAAAAGCGTGGCCGCAAAAGCGCCGAAGCCTGAAGGTACCATGGCTGTGATGCTTGCAGGTTCTTCGGCATCGACGACAAGGCTGCAGAGAAATTGAAAGTTGACTCAAAACCCGCAAGTCAATCCGGGATAATGCATCCAAAAGCACCATTACACATGTAAGAAGTACTGTAGTGACGCAAACCGGAGCAACAAGTTGATAGCTTCGGGCATCAGGTAGGCAAAAGCGCCATGCAAAATCCTCGCTCACCTCCCAAACCAAAGCCGCGAGACTCATGGGTCGATGTTGTGAGGTTTGTTGTGCTGTACATTCATCTCACATACATACACTTGGTATATTGAAGAAGGAGACTGTTTCCAGCAAAGGCGTCTTCTCAGGATTGAAGATAGTTTCGTGTGTTTGCTCCTCTCCTGAAATCAGTGACACGTGTGCTGTTCTGTTGCGACGTGAGCAGTCCTCCAGGGAAGCATATCAGTTCATTTCAAGTCATCAGCTGGAATCAGGTCTTGTCACCCAGAGGTGTGGTTGCCAAGACAAGAAAGAAAGCGCAGGGAGGCGGGTGGCGATGCAAAACAGGACATAAAGCAGCGTCTACACCTTGGGAAGCCAGCACTCCGAAGAACATGAAACCACGATAAGATCAAAGGCTTTGCGTTCAATTCATGGGCCGGGAGAGGCAGGCAGCTGCAGTGTGTGCGGAGATAGTCTCCGCTGTAGGTAGCAGTAGCAATGCTGACGGGTTGGATTGCAAGCCTGCCAGCAGCGCCAGCGCCGTGTTCGATTTTACACGACGTGCTGTTGGTTCGGAGAAGCAGGGCTAGCTCGAGCAGAAGTGTGGGATGTCAGCTACCACGACCGCTAACTTCGTGTTACAAGCGATGTTACAACCGGTGTCTAATGTCGCTATGTCAAGTGTGGTGGTTATGTATGTCAGCAGTTTTACGAAGACTTTCATATCGGCGTCTGCGTTCCGTCTGCTTGTCTTCCTAGAGCCGGCAGCAGCAATACTAAGACAGTTAGCCCTTGGGGCTTTGCGGATCTCTTGGAACGTACTACATGAGACGAGTTGACTGCAGATGAAGACAAGTACCAGGAAAGTGTCGCAGATTGCTTTCCGCTGTTCCTGCGCCCCTAGTCATCTGGGTCGTCTGTCTGTTGTGGCTGCTTATTCGCGGTGTGCATCCTGTGAATGTACTAAGCAATTTCGATCGCAGAGACGCGGAAACGACAGGAAAGGAGGTATCGCCATAATTTCGCAAAGCGGGATGTATGTTCTGCTCTGGCTAGTGTGTCTTTGTCAAAGCTGCGAGCGACAGTTTGTCATCATTGGCAAAGACACAAGACTTGTCTTCTCATGCCTGCACTCTGCAACTCTAAGTTGTACTCCTTGTGGCAGTACGAGACACGTGTATCCACAGGAGACGAACACCATCTGGGAGCTTGACATCGTAACAGCGAAAAATTGCATATTCAAGCACGCAGAGAGACACAGACACGGAGAGACAGACACAGAGACGCAGAGACGGAGATGCACAGAGACACGGAGACACATACAGAGTTGTATAGAACAGCGGAATACTAAATCTGGTTGGGGTAGGACTTGCGGCTTGGCAAAAGCAACACCGTGAAATCAGCGAGGCAGCTGGAGACCTGGTTCGTGGCAACTGCATCAATCTGTCCAAAGGAGGGGCTCATGTTCACTGCGGACCGGGTTCAGCTTGACTTTCGTCTCAGGAGCACTCATCTGCCTGGCCCTCAAGCTCTCAGGCCTGGATCTTGGGGTGTCTCTTTCGTGCGTCAGGCGCAGACCGGGTGCTGACGGTGTCGCCCAACTATTCGAAAGAGATCCAGACGCCGCACGGGGGCTTTAACTTGCAGGACCCGAAGACCTCAGATGCAATATCCAGCTCCATGCGGCGCAGGATTTCGTTTCAGCGAAAGCCGCATCCTTGCGGCTGGCGGGAATCCTGAATGGCATCGATGACTGTCTGGACCCGAGACGTAGCTGGAAGGTTTCCGAAGGACCTGAGCGCGCGCTGGCGCGCAAGCGCATCCAGTGTCGACGCCCCCGGGGGCCGCTGGCGGCTGGGGGGGCGGCGGCACGGCGCGGCGGCGCGCGTTCTCTGCCTTCCCCCCCCCCCCTTCTTCCATGCAGAGACCGACATTTGACAATGAGCTCTGAAAATGTTGTGACGGTTAAGGAATTCCCAACGCAGCATATCAATGCCCCAATATCGTTCATGATTTCAATCCCTGAGCCGGATGCTTCGTTCATCTGCACGCACATAAGGCATCCATGCCCGTGCCGCCCCATATAATGTCTTGAGCTTCTATGCCCAAACAACAGAGTCGTTCATCACGTCCTTCCCTTTACGAATGCGGTCAGCAGAGCGGCGTCGTGCACGCTTCAGTGCATCGAACTGTGATTTGAGCGTTCGGTGTACCATGGCTGTATGCTTCTGAACTGTGTGGCGCTTTGCTTGATATTATGCACATGTATGATTGTTGCGCTCGGCGTGTGCAGGCTAGACTTGTGTCGGTGCGACTTTTGCCATCTTAATGGCGGCGTTGTGGGCAGCCATCCCTAGAGTGGCTGCGGCAGACTTAGTGCGGTTACTTCTGGGAGTTGGCTCAGACATGCATTTACCGGGCTGTCTCCTTCGGCCTCTGTTTGGTTTGGTGCCGTGGAAGGGGCTGCCAATAGCTATCATCAGTGGCTGGTTGCCGATCCGTTGGAGAGGTTGGCTCTGGTGGCTAGTCATGATGTGTTTAAGTACCAAAGGGTAGAAAGCCGTGCGGAGTCCTTGTTGTTGTTGTGTGTGCCCCAGGGTTTCAAGCATGAGCTTGTTACCAACCGTTGGATGACGAACGCTACAATATTGTTCCGGGTTTTGTGCGCATACCAGCCTGGCGGAAGTACAGAGAGGGCGTACCTGTTGTCAATCAAGGCTTGTTCAACCTGAGACTTGTAAGACCTTCATCACTCATCACCGTATCGAAGGCTCGGAGGCGGCAGTCGCGATGCAGAACGTCATGGGGTCCGACTACTGTGTGCACTGGCTCCACTCCTTCCTATTGCTGCTGTTGTAGCAGTACTAGTCTCCCGAAAAATTCGTTTCGCGTGCAGCCTCTTCCATGCAATGAGCGGTGCGCAGTTTTAGTGCCAACCTGCCGGTTCCAATCTTCCCCCCGGTTCCTATGACATCTCCTTGCCAAGATGTCCCTCAAAGGAGGTCAGCATTTTTGTAGATCTTCCTCTATGTTTTTTTTATTGGAACGCAGCACATTCGCGAGGGCTCGAAGGGGAGTTTTTCTCGGGCCAGCGGTGAGTGGTCTCAAGTACTTTGAAGTGGCTGTTCTCGCAAAGGTGCACATCAATCACAATACCGAACGCGTTCAAACTCGCATCATTTGCCTCGAGGATGATTACGACAAAGGGCCGACTCCCCTTCGGCTGCATTGCAGCAGCCAGACTGCAGTTTGCTCACCAGATCTGCCATTAAACTGTCAACTTCCTACCTCCCTCGTCCAACTGGGGATCCATGTCCTGTAGCGATAAGCTCTTGGAACTCTTCTCCAAGACACCCATCTTCATTGCTGCGCAAGATCTCCGAATCGATTTTTGTTAGCTGGTGCCGCTCAAGAGGCGGTGGAAGATCCTCCACGCGAGCTTGTCCCTCTTGGTCTCGAGGGAGGATGCTCTCTCCCACAAAGAGCTCGCAAGTTTGCGAAAACTGCGTTCTTTTCCAGCATACTGCCGTAGTGCTGCCTGCAGAGAAACTTCCTGTTCGGGTGCAGGTTGGGTGACCGCCGCGCCGAGTCGCGAATGCCCATGATCTCCTCCGCAGCCTCGTAGGAGCCTCCGGCCTGGTGGCCACCGCTATCAGTGCCCTCCTCCGGTTCAAAGCTTCCTCGTTGATCATAAGTCATACGATGCCATAGTCAAAAAGCTATGCCCAAACGCAGATCTATCGCCATTTCTTACCCCTGACTTATCTCTGTCTTGCGTCTTAGGGGTCTCCCTCCCCGTGTGCATCCGCGCAACTTGTCCGTTGTTTGTGCCGGTCCGTTGCCGATGATGCGGTGGCGTGATACATCCCCCCCTTGCCACGGAAGCAGATCTGTCAATGCTGAGCACTCGCATTGGGCGAGCATGTGGCCAGAGGGTGCATGCGATCTGCATTCATATCCCAGGTTGGGATCCGGCAGTGGATCCAGACATCGTTGCTTGGCGTAGAGCAGAAGGCAAAGAGCCAAAGCCTTCGCCCTCAACTGATCCCAGTTCGTCAACTTCAGCGTCGAGGACTTTGAGCAGGGAAAACAGGAGAACAAAGCTGGAAGCTCTGAGAAAGAGTTCTGCGAGTGCTTGTGTGCTATCTCCAGGTTCACTGCATGCGGGCTGCGTGCATGCACGGTGCCCTCATCACATCGAGGTTCAACTGCAGCGAACGCTGGGACTGGAGGAGAACCCCGAGGCTCCCGGGGTCTAGCACGGCAGCACGTCTTCTTGAAAGGCAGACCCAGACCCAGCTCTCCCAAGTCATTCTACCTTGAGCTGCTTCGTGCCACAGCAATCCTGGCAGTTGTGCCTGATTGGCTTCGTTGGACGCCTGACGTGGCCTGTGGCTCAGTGCCTAGCGGCCTAGCGGTCGGTACAGTTCGTGCAAGCTTCTCAGAGAAACTTCTTCCCGTGGTGGAAGCGGAGAGGAGCCTTGTGGGGCTAAGTTCGCGGGTGGCTCGGGGAGGGGACACCAGACTGACCGGACATCCCCATTCTGGGTCGTGCGGTCGTACTTGCAGGGCTGTGCTGTGAAGATTTAATGATTCATGTTAGGATGTATAGCGTATTTTGCACCACATGTGTGTATAACCGCATATGCTGTAGCCCCTGCGGGTGCTCAAGCAAGGCGATAGAAGTTTAGCTTGGGTCGTGCGACTTTGTGGTTTAAGGGTTAGCCGAAACCCTTGCATGGTAGCGGAGCCCTTGGTCGAAGAGGCCTTGGGTTCACCACCAGCGGGTTGCAACGCGGTGGGCACTCAGCGGGCTAGCCCGCGGGTGCAGTGCTTCGCGGGTCAGCCCCGCCAGCACAAGGAGGAGCGGGCGCGTAGGGACGCGGGCTAGCCCCGCTCCCTTTTAGCTTAGCCACGGCGGGTGGCAAAGGAGGCAAGGGCTCTAAGAAGGGTAAGCCTCCCGGGAAGGGCAAATCCAAGGACCCTCCCAAGAAGAAAAACAAGCATATCGGTCAGCTGAGGCGACCACCCGTAGGCAGGAACGTGGTCAGGCTAAGCGCCTGGCCTCGGCCCTTGATAGGGGAGCGAAAGCTCTGAAGCCGGCGGACCAGGGGCCAGGGTTCGTCTTCGGCAGCGGCCCCGCGAAGGGTAGTGGTAACATATATCCCTGCCGAGGCAAAGGCGAACGCGAGGGCGGAAGCCCGCAAGAAGCCGATCAGGCTGGTGGAAGCGGGGTCCAAGGAGCAGCCGTTTGAGAAGATCAAGTGGAAGAAAGAAGGAAGAGGCGCAAGCGTCGATCCCATTGCCCTCGGATCACGCTTAAGCCTTTGCCTCGGGAGGCAGCTCCTGTCCGACTTAAGTCGGCAAGCCGGCAGGTGCAGCAAGCCAGGCAGAGGTCGGAAGACCTCAAAGAGCTTTTGGAGGCGGCCAAGAAGGACTGGAAGAGGTGTAATTACGCGGGCCGCCGGAAGATCCAAGAGATCTTGAAAGCCAAGCTTCCCAAGCGAAGCATTGCCGAATCATTGGCAAGGAAGGCTGGGATCACTGTCGCTTGCTCCTCTTGTGACGAACGGATCACGAAGTACCGGCCCCTGGTGCGGCGCCGGGTGCTCAGGAGGTTTAGCGGCCCAGAGCTGTTGGCAAAGGCCAGCAGCTGATCAAGCAAAGATCCAGGGAAGCCAGCTACGAGCTGGAAAAGGTGAAAAGTGTGAAGCAGGAAGTTACGGTTTACCAAGAGCATCCTGCCGGAGAACAGCGAGGAGTTACGGCTAAGCCAAGAGCACCTTGCAAAGTCGGAGAAAAGCGTGAAAGTGAAAGACCTTGAGCCAGATACATAAGGACCTGCCAAAGTGTTGGAAAGATGCAGGAGAACCAACAAGCTCAACAAGCACAGCAGCCACCGAACCCTCAGCAGGTAAGGTTGGAACAGCTGATGACTACGTTAGGTCAAGCTACAGAAGCTATGGCAAGAGTTGCGCAAGGAACAGCAATGCAACAAGCGCAATTGGCAACAGCAATGGATGCACTGGCGAAAGCCCAAGCATCACCGAAGGCAGCCCCCACAGGCAGCCAACCAGCCTCAGTAAGTTTTGATACTGGAGGCAAGATCCTCAAGCCACCAGAAGCGTTCAATCCTGCGACGATTGAAGAAGAAGTGTCACAATGGAGTGACTGGTCATTTACGTTCAAGAACTTCTTAGCGTTCATGGACCAAGAATTCCTGAAGGACTTGAAAGCGGCAGAAGGAGAAAAAGCCGTGATAACATCGGAGGTGACAAATTCATTCTTTGACAGTGATCAAGCAAGAGTGAACAGAGGAACGAAGCTTTACTTAGTGTTAAGCAGTTACTTGAAGAACAGACCTCTGAAAGTGCTGAGAAGCGTGAGCGGGATGAATGGATTTGAAGTGTGGAGAAAGTTGACGGCCGAACTAGAGCCGACATCTCGTTCAAGGAGTCTAGCAATGGCACAAGCATTGGTTGGATTCCCAGCCATGAGCAAAGGAGCATCGCTGATGGACTACGTCCTGACATACGAGAGAAGCTCACAGCAGAGCACGAAAAACTCTCAGGGCAGAAGTATGATGACAACTTGAAGATCGGTACACTGCTGAAAGGAATTCCACAGCACCTCAAGCAGCATGTGATGGTTGATATCACTGATAAGACCACGTATGAAGAGTTAAGAGCAAAGCTGCTACAATATGAAAGAAGCAATCAGACATGGTCAGCTGAGAACATCTTAGGATCATTGAGTGTTCCAGACCCAGCGTCGCACTCAAGCAACAAGGCCTACCAGGACCAATTCCAATGGAACTTGATAGATTGCACATGAGAAAAGGTAAGGGAGATGGAAAAGGAAAAGGTGACAAAGGAGGAAAAGGAAGCCCTTATGGAAAAGGAAAAGACAAAGGAAAGGGCAAAGGATATGGATACGGAAGAGGAAAAGGTGGTAGAGGAAAAGCAAAAGGAAAAGGAAGAGGTTTTGGAAAAGGAAAAGGATATGGAAAGAAAGGTGGAAAGAGCATAAGGCAGGCCGAAGGAAAAGGCTACGAAAGTGACAAAGGAAAAGGCAAAGGTGGACAGAATGGACCTGTATGTTTCAATTGCGGTAAGACCGGACATTACTCTTCGGAGTGTTGGTCGGCACCAAAGGGAAAAGGAAAAGGAGGAAAAGGAAAAGTTCGGAATGTCCAAGAGACAGGTGAGGAAGAATGGTATGAAGAGCAACCAAGTTCTTCTACACAGGCACAAGCCAGGCCACCACAAGGAGCCAAAGGAAGTGAGCAAGTGCGTAGGTTGGTGACAACGCCTATGCCAGTGATTGAAGAAGTGTTCGAAGACGATGATGACTACGTCGATCTTGTAGGAATGTTCGAAGAGATGGTGATGGACTATGCTGCAAGAGCAGTAAAATTCAACACAGTTGTGCTATGGTCAAGCATGGCTGATGAAAGTGATGAAGACGATTATGAGAAAGATGAACTTCACAAGTGGTATGAAGATTTGCATGTAGACAAGGAAAATGCCAAGCATGCAAGAGAAAGAGAAAGACTCCTTGGAGTTAACAGTTCTTACAGAAGGACCGAAGATGAAGAGCCAGAAGTGCATCGAGTCAGAGCCGTTAACTCAAGCTACTCAGAACTCGTTGAAGTCGTTCTAGATAGTGGCGCGGATTGTCATGTACTTCCGCTATGCTACTACAGTGAAGACTTAGGAACAGTTGAGTTCCCAGCTTTGAGAATGGTTATTCAAGATGCCCAAGGCAACAGGATAAGAACCACTGAGACAAGAGCGAACATCACACTCGAATTCCAAAGAACAGATGGAAGAGTGATAAAGGTGAGAGATTCAGCTGTGTTCGGAGATGTAACACAACCACTATTTGCAGTAGGCAAGTTGTGGAAAGTCGGATGGGGACTTGATCCTCTAGACCAGTTCAATGCTTATCTGAAGAAAGGTTCAGCAAGAGTGCCAGTGAGGTTTGCAAGAATCTCAACAGTGACAGACCTCAAGATTTACAGAGCTCAAGTGAAGGTTGAAAGTGATGAACCACAAGTGAGAAAGCTCGCATTGATCAAGCAGATGGAAGATGACTTCGAGAAGATGAAGTATCATCAAGGATGGTTTTTCATGTCAGATGGGATGCCAGCAAGGATCGATTATGACAAGTACACAACATTTGATCCCACAAATGACGACGTGAAAGCGTTCAAGTTCAGAACTACTTTGGTATCGAGGTACGATGGTGACAACATCGTATGGAGCGAACTGGAGTTTGTGGAGTGCGCTGAAAAGTGGGAAGGCCGAGAAGAGATTGTGATAGATGCAGTTGAAGAGAACTCGGTGATCATCACGATCTTGGAGAGAAAGTCTCTGGGACTTGAAGAGTATGGTGAGTATGAAAGAACAGTCCCGAAGAAGAAAAAGAAGGAACAAGAAAAAGAAGTGGAACCAGCAGACGTGGAGATGAAGGTTCACAAAGAAGGAAGTGATACAAAGAAGAATAGAACAAGTCGAAAATGAAGCAGCAGAAGCAATGGAGAACCTGTTTCCGAGTGAACCGCCTGCAGAAGAAGATATGAAAGAGTGGAAGAAAATTGAAGAGCAACTGCCAAGTTTAGGAGAGAAGATGGAAGCGATGATTGTGGCAGGAGTCGAACTCAATCCAGAGAGTTCACTCAAGGAAATGAGAACAGCATGTGAATTCCTGAAGATAGGAAAGACTGGAAGTAAGGCTCAAATATGGCAACGGTTGAAACAAGCCATATCAGCAAACAAGATGAAGGAGTTGGTTGAAATCTCCAAAGGACTGGAACTAGCAAGAGAACCAAAAGGAGAAAAGAGACCAGAGATGCCAACTGAAGAAGAAAGAAAGAAGCACGAACTGACGCACTACCAAAAGCTGATTGGTGTGAAAGTTGTCAAGCAACAAGATCAAGAGAAGACAATTTCGATGTGTCAGAGAAGAAGAATGAAGCATCGCTAGTGTCAATGGATTTCAAGTTCACTGGAACCCGAGATGAAGAGAACACAAAAGACAACAAAGATGCATTGACAATCGGACCGGTGATGGTTGATGAAGCAACAAAGTTCGTACACGGCATTCCAGTAGCGACAAAAGAAGTGACAGCATACGTTGTTGAAGAAGTCTGCAGAGTGCTTATGCTGTTGAGTTCTAAAGTCATTCTGAGAACCGACACAGAACCAGCAATGATCTCGCTGAGGAAGAAGGTACAAGGAATAAGGAAGATGAAGAATCTTGATACAGAGATACAAGATGTAGCACCAGATGAACACCAAGGATTGCAAGTTGAAAGATGAGTTCAAACGGTTCGGAACTTATCCAAGACATTGGTGTATGGAGTTGAATCGCAAGCGAAAGTGA